CCAAATTCAAATTAAAAATGTCAAATTTCTTGTATTTTAGAACGTAACATTAAATTTACTCTGGAAAAATAAGTGATAATACAACTAGGAAATGTTTTGAAATACAGTTGTAATGAGGGGAAGTAAGCTGTTTTGAAGATAATATAGTGTAGTGTAAAAATGGATCAATGTAATAGAATTTGCAGCTAAGAAAAGATCATTACATACATGCTAGAGGAAGCACAGTAAGTCAGTCAGTCTAGAAAAGAGAAATGATACTGGAGCAATTAATAGGAAATCTGTTTAGAACTTGACTTTATATCCTATATCCCAAGAGATTTTAAATGAATTATGCAACCGAATGTTAAGAAACTAAGTTATAATTTTAAATATCTTTGTTAGGACATTTTTTAAACATTCAGAGAAATCAGATTATAGAATAAATGTAAATGATGCCAAGGAGTTATTGTTAATTTTATTAAGCATGGTAGCACAGTGGTTATATAACAAAATGTTAGGATTTTTTAAAAGTAGAGGTAAAATGACACAATAACTGGGATTTGCTTTAAAGTAATACTTCAGCTGTGGCCAGTATGGCTCAGTTTTTTGGAGCATCTTCCTGTACAGAAGGCTGTGGGTTTGGTTCCCTATCAGGGCACACGTGAGTACCTAAGCTGCAGGTTGATTCCTGGTCTGGGAGCCTACGAGGGGCAGCCAGTTGATGTTTCTCACATTGATGTTGCCCGCCAACCCCCATCCTCTTTCTAAAAGCAATGAAAAAAAAGTCCTTGGGTGAGAATTAACTAGTTAATTAAATACCTCAACAGAGAAGAGTGATAAGTGGAGAAAATGTGACAAATCTTGATAATTTTTGAATTCAGGAAATTCTACTTTTCAGTATATTTTAGATTTTTGATAGTACAACTTTTAAAAGAGAGGAAATAGTTAAATTGAAATTACAAATATAAATTGAAATCAGACAAACCATTATAGCAGAAGTGTGGTGAGCAGTATCCTCACACTGGTGGTACGAATGCAAGTTGGTACAACCCCCTTAGAAAATATTCCACGTTGTTAAAGAGAGAAATTTGGACCATAAGATACTACATGCAGCATTAATTGTAGTAACAAATCTAGAAACAACCTAATACCCAATAGTAGGCAGGTGGTAAATTTTGAAACAGTCACATTATAGAGTATTGTGCAGTCATTAAAAGTAATATTTACAAAAGATTAGAACATTGGGAGAAGCTTCTTTTGTTAAATGAAAAGAATATAGGACTTCTGGCCAAGATGGAGGCATAGGTGGAAACACTGTGTCTTCTAGCACAACCAAGTTTAAAGACAACAAAGTTTTAGTAACAAAAACGCAACCAAATCACAGACAATTGAACTGTACGGAAGTCCGACAGCAACGAACCATTCATCCAGACCGGTAAGAGGGGCGGAGCCAGTGGCTGTTGGAGCAGGGTCACGCAGGAAAAAGCAGCCAGACCAACCCAGGTGTGCCGGCAGTGATTGGCAGTGGGTGAACCCAGTGAGGGTGCGGTGCAGCTGACTGACTTCAGTCACACATTCGCACGCAGATAAATCAAATGAAGGAGTGAGCAGTGAGACAGACCTAGCAGGCCCCAGCAGCTTGCAAGAAGCAGGAGAGGGGACTGCCATTACCCCTCTCTGACCCTGCCCCCACATACAGCATCACAAACCAGCGACCTGGCTTGCCCCACCCTGGTGAACACCTAAGGCTCTGCCCCTCATAACAGGCACGAACAGACCAAAACATTATGGCTCAAGAACAGCTCAAAGCCCCAGAGCCAATAATTCTAAGTGACCCAGGAATAGCCAACCTATCAGTTGCACAGTTCAAAACACTGGTGATCAGGATGCTCACAGAACTGGTTGATTTTAGTCACAAATTAGAGGAATAAATGAAGGCTAAACTAATTGAAATGAAGGGAAATGCACAGGGAACCAATAGTGATGGGAAGGAAACTGGGACTAAAATCAATCGAGTGGACCAAAAGGAAGAAAAAAACAACCAAACAGAAAAGAATGAAGGAACAAGAATTCAAAAAAAATGAGAGGCTTAGGAACCTCCAGGACATCTTTAAACATCCCAACATCCGAATTACAGGGATACCAGAAGGGGAAAAGGAAGAGCAACAAGTAAAAAACTTATTTGAACAAATAATAAAGGAGAACTTCCCCAATCTGGCAAAGGCAATAGACTTCCAGGAAATCCAGGAGGCTCAGAGAGTCCCAAAGAAGTTGGACCCAAGAAGGAACATACCAAGGCACATCATCATTACATTAGCCAAGATTAAAATGATTAAAATGAAGGAGAGAATCCTAGAAGCAGTAAGAGAAAAGAGGATAGTCACCTACAAAGGAGTTCCCTTCAGACTGTCAGCTGATTTCTCAAAAGAGACCTTGCGGGCAAGAAGGGGCTGGAAAGAAGTATTCTAAGTCATGAAGGGCAAAGACCTACATCCAAGATTGCTCTATTCAGCAAAGCTTTCATTTAGAATGGAAGGGCAGATAAAGTGCTTCTCAAATAAGATCAAGTTCAAGGAGTTCAAGTTCATCATCACTAAGCTCTTATTATATGAAATGTTAAAGGGACTTATCGAAGAAAAAGAAGATAAAAAAATATGAACGGTGAAAGGACAGCAAACTCACAGTTACTAACAACCACACCTAAAACAAAAGCAATCTAAGAGGACAGCTAGATCAGGAGCAGAACCATAGAAATGGAGATCACATGGAGGGTTAGCAACAGGGGAGTGGGAGGAGGAGAAGGGGGGAGAAGGTATGGAGAATAAGTAGCATAGATAGTAGGTAGAAAATAGATGGGGGAGGGCAAGAATAGCATGGGAAATACAGAATCTAAATAACTTGAGACACATGGACATAAACTAAAGGGGGGAATGGTGGGGGAGGTGTGTTCAGGGTGGAGGGGAGTGAGGGGGGGAATAGGACAATTGTAATGATATAATCAATAAAATATATTTTTAAAAGAATGTACAATTTTATATGTGTGTGTATATATATATATATATATAGTATATAAATTTGGTTTCAAATACAATACTAGCATCCATAGGGGGAAAAAAATAGAAGATAGTAATGCTGAAATTGGTATACTATAAATCTGCATTCGGTGAAAATAAGTAGAGTGTTTCTTTATGCTTTTCATAATTTTTGCAGTGCTATATACATAAATTTATAGTATATGTGTACTGTATAGTATATATATTACTTACATATAGTACTTATATAATATACTTAGGTTGTGGTGTTTTGAGTATATGAAATTTATAACTTGTATATATGCTGTTGCATACTATATACATATATTATGCTGTAAATATAATAAATACTACTATAAACCTACTGTATACCACTGTGGGTATAATACCATATTTTCAGACCATAAGACACACCTAGGTTTTAGAGAGGGAAAATTTTTTGAAGCAAAAATGTGCTAAAATATTTAATAACATAATTAACATAATATTTCACCAGTGTAAATTTGAACAGAACTCAACAGCAGCATTAACAACCGTTATTCCTCCCAAAATGGGCGTTGGGGGTGTGTCTTACAGTGTGTGTGTGTGTGTGTGTGTGTGTGTGTGTGTGTGTGTGTGTGTTTTATAATGAGAAAGGATGTCAGCATTAAAAATAAGAGTAGAATCTTCATTCTGGTTAATAAATCTCTAGAAAATATAATTTTCTAGAAGTGTAACATTCTATTTCTTATACATGCTGTTATTAGGCAAAAAGAAAAGTTCTTTGTCAACACATGATATTATGGATTCATGTTGAAGGGGTCCATAAAGTTCACGTAGCTCAGTTTTTTTTGTCATCAGACTCCCTATTCGGTTGGTGGTTTTGCTTGGGGAGAGCTTAAGTTTTTGTTTCAGTTGGGTTTTGTTGTTATTTGTCTGTTTGTTTGTTTTTTCATTTTGTTTTTTGACATATCTGCTAAGAATGTCAGAATGTTCTCAGTTCTTTAACAGATCTGGCAGAGTGAAAATTTCTTTCCCTATAACTTAATGCCACAGTCCGTATTTTGTCTCCTGGGGCCACATAAAACCAATTTCCTTTCCTTTACAGTAGTGAATAACTTCCCTGCATTGTTTCCTGTTTGTTCTGCAGTTCCACATTAGATATTTTAATTTTTGCTTCTAGTAATTATCTGTCAAGCACTTTACTTTAATATTTTTCTTGCCTTGCTAAAGTAAAATGACTAGTCTTTGCAGAAACTCTGTGAAGCAGAATAAAGTGATAACTTCTTACCTCCACCATTATAGATATGTATTATTATAGTATTAAGTAGTTGCTTTTTGGAAAACATGTCACAGAATGTGATTGATTCATAATGTTTTCAATGAAACCTTTAAGAAAAAACAAAGTATATAGCATAGCTAAGCCTTGTCTTATTCTACTTGTGCAACTGACTTTTTGGACCAGGTTCTTCATTATTAATTTTATCTCACTAGATTCAGTCTATCTTTTCAGATTCCAGTGTATCAGTGAGCACGTTTAAGTAGCCCTCTCAACTTCATATCCATCAGAAAGTTTAGTGTGTTGTTTATAACATTATCTGTGTCATTGATAAAAAGTGTTGAATATGAGTACTTAAGATTATTTTAGTCCTAGGCACTGTGGCCTGAGGGGGGAAAGTTTTAAAATAAACATCAGTCCCAGCTGGTCAGTGGATTGCAAAGCCAGCCTGCTATCTGAAGGGTCACCAGTTCGATTCCTGGTCAGGGCACATGCCTGGGTTGCGGGCCAGGTCCCCATTGGGGACATGCAGGAGGCAACCACACATTGATGTTTCTCTTCCTCTATTTCTCAGTCCCTTCATCTCTCTCTAAAATTAAATAAGTAAAATCTTTAAAAAAAATAAACATCAAAAAACATTTGGAAAATAATTTTGCTGACAGCTTTATTTCAGATTCATAGTTTGAGGTATGTTAACATTGTTTTCTATCTCACTTTTTTTTTCTCCTCAGGGATCCATCTGTCTCTAAGTCTATAGAACGAATCTTTAAAATCTGGGAAGATAGAAATGTATACCCAGAAGAAATGATTATGGCTTTAAGAGAAGCTTTGAGTAAGTGTCTTTTCTCTCCTGAAAGAAAATTCTAGTCACCGTTCAGTCTTTAATATTATATCTATTTTATAGGCCTGGTCCTGTTGACTAATAATGAAAAATAAAATTTCGGATGTAGCCTTGTTTGTTTAAAATTAAGTACTTATAAAAATTTGAAGTAAAATTTAAATAGAATTGGTTTGGGGGGTTGAATTTTGTTTCTGTTGACTAAAGAAAGTCAAGCCTATTAAGTGACAATGGCCATCTGGTTGTTTTTCTTCATTTGCTTTATGTAGAGCATATAAACCGTTTGCTTTTTATGCTTAATAACTACTGCCTTGTCCTCTTACTGTTGGAGAATTGTTGGACAAGGTTTCAGTTTTCACTATAAGTATTTGATATTAAGCATATATTGGCATTCTTTAGTCTCTACTTTGGTTTAGATTTATGGTAAGTTATGTACCTGGTTGTTGTTTTTTTAAAAAAGTTATTTACTGCCTGTGTGTTAGATTCATGTAATTAAACCATGGAATAGAAGCTGGTAATATCTGATAACATGACCATTATTGGACTAGAAATTTGCTTTAAAAATAGCATCTTCTAAGAAGCTGTTAAATTCTTCCTTTCATTGTGTTTACTGGTATTTTTAAGCTTCCTACCTGATTGTCAAGATGAGTAATTTCATTGACTATAGAAATCATGTTTATTTGACAGCTTCTTAGAGATCTAGCAGGTGTTTTATTTATTTTTCTTTTTAATAAAAATGAAAGAAAAGGAAAGAAAGAAACAACACAGTCTCGGATTTCCTTTTTTCATGCTACAACTTTGACACTGAAGTGGACAGACAGAACAGCTTCCCATAATGCCAGATTGCAAAAACTGAAATGTTTTCCAGGTACCACTTTCAAAACTCAGAAGCAGATGAAAGAAAATCTGAACAAACAACCGAATAAGCAGTGGAAGAAATCACAAAGTAAGGAACAAAATCTCAACTAATATAAAATTAACTCCTCTTTTTGGAGCAGAAGAAAATGTAGACCATTTGACATCGTACTTCGCATAAACCATGGGCAAGCCTGTGTTTTCCAGGCCTGGGAGGCTCTCAGTGACTTATACTAAAACAAGCCATCATGGAGTTACTTCTTAAAAAAAAAAAACAAAACAAAAACAAAAAACTACTTTTAAACAAAGAAAATGCAGGAAGAGGGTTTAAATGAGTGAAGATTCAAGAGTAGTTGGGGGATTAAAAGAAGAAAATAAATACTTGATAGTGCCCAGGCTAACTCTCAGGTTCAAAGATAAATGAAGTTAGAGGCAGCTGGCATTAAGCAACAGAGCTGAAGAGGAGACTAGGCATTAAGAAGCATTTCTGTGGGAGCCATGAAATCCTTCAGATTTGGGCATACACTCTACCAAATTAGACATGGGCCTCAGATCCTGGCCAGAAGCTCATTCTCTAACAGGAGCTCCTACTATGTTTATCATGTTTACCCAGCATGAGACCAAGGGAGTGGAATACTGCATGTGATAGGCTGCTGTGGGCCAAACTAAGGAATATTGAGAAAGACCTGAAGGTGTGGAGGGAACAAGGTAAAAGACAGTGAGAATTAGGAGGTGAATCAAGACACTTGGGATGGTTTTGCTCAAGCAAGCTTTTGATTTTCATCATGATTAAGTGAGTCTTCTGACATCTTTTTGGGCATAAGTTGCATGCTTAGAAACAACAGGAGTCATCATTTCAGCCAAAATTCCACCACAGTGATAATGTACTTAGAACTTGCCTTGCCTGTTTTTGCTGTGAACTGAGTCAGCAGAAAAAGAAACCCAGAGCTAAATACATAGGAATAGAGTTGATGTTTGTAAGTAATTTTCTTCAGCCAGTGCTCAGGATTAATTGGATGTCCTGCTCCTGAACACTCTTAATTTGAAGTATTGAGATCCTCTTACACCAGTCAGACTAGGAAGAAAGGTACTTCATGTATCTCAGTATCTCCAAATCAGTAATTCTAGGACTTTATGACTTAAAGGGCCTATTGGAGGTAAGTAGGTCAGTCCTATCTAAACAATATGTTTTTATATTGACCATGCTTTGGGAGTGTTTAAATTTCATATTCCACTATTTATTCTAGAAATTATTATTTAAGTGCATGTTTGACATAAGTTTAAAAGTATACCCTTAAATATAGAGCTAAAACATCTTCTGAATATTAGTTAACTTTTTCTGCCTGTATTCTTAATGACCTTTTGTTTAATTCCAACAGCATCCACAAATCCAAAAGCCGCTCTCAAGTCTAAGATAGTTGCTGAATTTCGAGTAAGTTACAGAATATGTTGAACATGCCAAAAAGCATTATTCATCCTTTTTGTGTTACAGTTTTCTGTATGGTCCATAAGATTCATTTTTATTCGGTTGTACATCAGTTATATTTTATCTTTTAAGTTGTAAAGGAATCCAGATTGCACTCAGATTACTTGGAGTTTTATCCGTTTCTCTACTGGAAGAAATAACCTTCTTAGAGAAAATCTATTACAGGCTTAGTTCTGTACTGAATCCTCTAACCAAATTAGAATTTGCATAGAGTTGATGTAGTAAGGCTGTTCATCTAATTAAATTTTTAAAATGATTCGTGGAACTTTGTTTCATTCATAACCCTATAGTCATAAATTATATGACTGAAAAATGTTTTTTGGGGTTTTTTTTGTTGTTTTTTATATTTTATTTATTTATCTTTAGAGGGGAAGGGAAGGAGAGAGGAAGAGAAATATCAGTGTATGGCTGCCTCTCATGCATCCCCTGCTGGGAACTGGCCTGCAACCCAGGCATGTGCCGTGACTGGGAATTGAACCTCAGTCCTCTGGTTCACAGGCCTGTGCTCAATCCACTGAGCTACACCAGCCAGGGCAAAAATGTTTTAACGTGAGAATTGATACTGCTATCCCTGAATATGAGGAAATGGGAAAGGTTTTTCCCTGTTTGGGTTTATTAGGTTTTAATAGGGAAAGTTAAGTAAGTCACTGGTCTTATAAATGAAATTTGACTCTGCTGTGTGTTCAGTCTCAGGCCCTCATTGAAGAACTGCTGCTGTATAAGCGCTCAGAAGATCAGATAGAATTGAAGGAAAAACAGCTGTCAACTATGCGTGTGGACGTGTGTAGCACAGAAACTCTCAAATGCTTAAAAGGTAATACATACGTCCTTTAAACTAGAATAACTCAGATTTTCTTTCCAGATTCATCATTTTCAAGTGGAGAGACTGGTTCTCCTGTGAAGAGAACTTTATGTTGTAGATGGGAGTTGTGCCAACTCTGGTTTCTAGTGATTTCATTCATATACATTTCATAAGTAAATTTCTGACATAAGTGTTAGATGTCGACTGTATGTCAAGAAAGCTAGAGAAAAAAATAAGTTTAAAAAACCCAAAGAAATCAGTTCTGTCATTTTCCCCACATCTAGTGCTTTCTTACATAGTATTAGGTTATATATAGACAGGTGTGTTTCACACGGGAGAGGAACAGGTTTGAGTGTGGTCTTTAATAAGATCATTGTGATGCCTTGTAAATCTGGTTAGTTTCTTTTCCTTACATTGTAAATTATAAGTAATAATAGTAATTTATTAGAACATAAATCTAATGAAGGTAAAAATTACCTTTATTTGTTCACTGCTACATTGTGTCCAGAGCAATGCTTGGTACATAATAAGCATTTGATCAATATTTTTGAAATAATGGGTAAATGGCTACTAGATATTCATTTTGGCATCTGCTTTAAATTTTACATGTTATCGAATTTAATCCTCACAACATGTTAAAAACCTTCATTTTGTACATGGGAAATCCAAGGCTTCCTAAGGAGATGAGTAGTTTGCCCAAGTTACACAGCTGATAAAAGACAAAGCCAAAACTTGATTTCATTTTAAAATCCATATTCCAGTAGTCATGGGAAAGTGTACTTAGGAGAGTAACAGTTTGTGATCACATCACTGTTGTTGCAAAAATAATGAAGTGTGTGTACTCTTCTGATATGAAAGTATCAGGGATCTTTAGGAGAGAATTTTAGTGTGATTCACAGATTCACTTTATTTTTCTGAATTGGTTTTAAGTTAATGGTCTAAGGGAACAGAATCCATCCTTATTTCATTATTCCTAAGTAGTGGTGTGGCACCAAATTTGTGAAGAAAAGCAGTCAGTGAACTTTCTCTCAGTTGCACTTTCTTTTGTTTAATCACAGATGTCTTCATAATGCAGTCTTGCTTTTAACTCAAGCAGATCTTTTTTGTGATTTGGAGGAGTCTTTTTTAAAGTTAAACTATGAGACTAAGAATATTACACACTAAGGCAGCAAGAACAGGTTCACAGATCATCTGGAGGAGTCTGGTTTACTTCAGAAGATTAAATTTTTTACTTTTTTAAAAGATTTTTTTATTTATCTTTAGAGGGGAAGGGAAGGAGAGAGGGAGAGGGAGAGAAATATCAATGTATGGTTGCCTCTTGCGCGTTCCCCGGCTGGGAATTGGCCTGCAACCCAGGCATGTGCCCTGACTCGGAATCGAACCATGACTCTGGTTTGCAGGCCCACATTCAATCCACTGAGCTACACCAGCCAGGGTGCTCTTTCTTTCTTTTTCTTTTTCTCTTTCTTTTTTTTTTTAAATCCTGAAATGAATACTTCCCTTTGTTATTTTAGATAAGACCGGTGGGAAGAAGTTCTCCAAAGAATTTGAAGAGGCAAGTGCCAAGCTGGAGGAATTTGTGAATGGATTAGATAAGCAAGTGAAAAATGGGCCCTCACTAACTGAAGCACTGGAAAATGCTGGAATTTTCTATGAAGCACAGTACAAAGAAGTAAAAGTGGTGGCCAATGTAAGTAGTAATTAAAGCTATCATATCAACTGCTTACTGTATGTCAGTGAGTGCTTTATATGTGCTGTCTAACCCTGTGAGGATAAGCATTATTATTTCTAGTTCACAGATGAGGAGGTTACTTTTGAAGAGGGTTAGTTACCTTGTACCGAAATTGAGCTAGCAACTGTAAAGTCTAAATTAAGACCTGAGTCTTTGATGTTAAAGCTCACACATCCCTGATTTATGCTTTATGTCTTCAGATTTTAAAAGGGAGTATGTCAAGATACTGTTACAAGGTATAAAATTATGCTGAAATATATGTAGAAAACTAGATGGAGACATTCTGTTACTAAATTTCATGTAAATTGACTAAATTAAGAACCCTCTTTGTCCTTTGGAATGGGAAGTCGATAACTGGACATTTGTCTAATGATTTCTGAAACTGTTCTTTTTGTACTTACTTTTTTTAAAGTTTTAATCACCACATATGGTCATGAAAGCACATGGAGTAATATTGAGTTGGCCAAAAGTTCGTTCTTTTTTTCCATAAGATGGCTTGTCTTTAATTTCATTTAAAACAATTTCGTTAGGTTATATTGTGACAGTTATCAAATCACCATGCATTATTTAAAAAGTTATCAGCTGTGGCAAGTGTGGCTCAGTGGACTGAGCTCTGGCCTGGGAACCAAAGGGTCACTGGTTCAATTTCCAGTCAAGGCACATGCCTGGGTTGCCAGCCAGGTCTCCAGTAGGAGGCATACAAGAGACAACTACACATGATGTCTCTCTCCCTGTTTTTCTCCCTCTCTTCTTTATTTCTCCCTCCCTCCCTTTATTTATTTCTCTTTAAATAAATAAATATTATTTAAAAAATAATCTTTTAAAAAATATTTTATTCATTTATTTTTAGAGAGGGGAAGGAAAGGAGAAAAACAGGGAGAGAGACATCAGGTGTGGTTGCCTCTCATATGCCCCCTACTGGAGACCTGGCCAGCAACCCAGGCATATGCCCTGACTGGGAATTGAACCAGTGACCCTTTGGTTCACAGAATGGTGCTCAATTCACTGAACCATACCAGCCAGAACAATAAGTAAAATCTTTTAAAAATGTTATCAAATTTGGTGAATTTCTGTATAGCCTTTTTTAATACTGAAGATGGGAAAAAAAACATTTTTGGCATATTATGCTCTATTATTTCAAGAAAAAACACAACTGAAACGAAACAAAAGATTTGTGCAGTGGGCGGAAAAGGTGCTGTGAATGATTGAACTTGTCAGAAGTGGTTTTCGAAGTTTCGTGCTGGAGATTTCTCACTGGACAATGCTTCACTGTTGGGTAGACCAGTTGAAGTTCATGGAGATCAAATCAAGACATTAATTGAGAATAATCAACATTATATCATGCAGGATATAGATGATATACTCAAAATATTTAAATCAATGAAGTTATTGGTGAAAATAAAAAATGTGTCTTTCATTTTATGGAAAAAAACTAAACAGATGTTTTTGTCCAACCCAATAGATTCCATTAGTCTCACTTCCTAGAAGCAATTCCTTTTAACTCATGAGCTATTTTTTTTCTGGCATTTGCCTACATATTTCTAAATAATAAGCCTATATTGTTCTTTTTTTGGTTTATCCTATTTAAGAAATATCTTTTAACTTCTGGAAGTGACAAATAAGGATTTAGCTTATATTTACCTGCCTTCCCCTTTCTCCCATTATAATTGTTTTTTTTTTAATTTTTTTATTGATTATGCCGTTACAGTTGTTCTATTCCCCCCTTCATTCCCCTCCACCCTACCCCCTCCCCACCATTACCCCCCTTTAGTTTATGACCATGTGTCTCCAGTCCTTTAGATTCTATATTTCCCATGCTATTCTTGCCCCCCCATCTATTTTCTATCTACTGTCTATGCTACTTATTTTCTGTACCTTCTCCCCCCTTCTCCTCCCACTCTCCTGTTGCTAACCCTCCTTGAGATCTTCATTTCTATGTTTCCACTCCTGATCTAGCTGTCCTTTTAGTTTGCTTTTGTTTTAGGTGTGGTTGTTAATAACTGTGAGTTTGTTGTCCTTTCACTGTTCATGTTTCTTTAACTTCTTTTTCTTAGATAAGCCCCTTTAATATTTCATATAATAAGGGCTTGGTGATGATGAACTCCTTGAATTTGGTCTTATCTGAGAAGCACTTTATCTGTCCTTCCATTCTAAATGAAAGTTTTGCTGGATAGAGCAATCTTGGTTGTAGGTCTTTGGATTTCATAACTTGGAATACCTCTTTCCAGCCCCTTCTTGCCTGTAAGGTCTCTTTTGAGAAATCAGCTGACAGTCTGATGGGAACTTCTTTGTAGGTGACTGTCTCCTTATCTCTTGCTGCTTCTAGGATTCTCTCCTTCATTTTAATTTTGGCTAATGTAATGATGATGTGCCTTGGTGTGTTCCTTCTTGGGTTCAACTTCTTTGGGACTTTCTGAGCTCCCTGGATTTTCTGGAAGTCTATTTCCTTTGCCAGATTGGGGAAATTCTCCTTTATTATTTGTTCAAATAAGTTTTCCACTGGTGGCTGTGCCTTTCCCCCCTCTGGTACCCCTATAATTTGGATGTTGGAGCGTTTAAAGATGTCCTGGAGGTTCCTAAGACTCTCCTCATTTCTTTGAATTCTTGCTTCTTGACTCTTTTCTGTTTGGCCATTATTTGCTTTCTTCTGGTCCACTCCATTGATTTGAGTCCCAGTTTCCTTTTCATTGCTATTGATGTCCTGTGCAATTCCATTCATTTCAATTAGTTTCACCTTCATATATTTGTCTAATTTGTGGCTATAATCAACCAGTTCTGTGAGGATCCTGATGACCAGTGTTTTAAACTGTGCGTCTGAGAGTTTTGCTATTTCTTCATCGCTTAGATTTATAGGTTCCGGGGCTTTGAGCTCTTCTTGAGCCATTTTTGGTCTGTTTGTGCCCTTTAAGTGTGAGGAACAGAGCCTTGGACTCCCAGGTCGCTGGGTTGTGACGCTATATGTGGGGGCGTGGTTAGAGCAGGGAAATGGCGGCACCCTCTGCTGTTTTGCACCGCTGGGTAGGAGCAGAGCCTTAGGTGGTTCACCTGGGCCGGGCCACTCAGAGTCGCTGGGTTATGACGCTGTATATGGAGGTGGGGTCAGAGCAGGGAAATGGTGGCGCCGTCCCTGCCGCTTGCCACGGGGACCCGCTGGATTCCAGTCCAATCACCCACTCCCTCGCTTGTCTATCCACGCACAAATGCGCAACCACAGTCAACCCACAGCCCTGCTCTCGCACTGTTTCCCCCGAGGTCGCTTGCTTGGTCGCTCGCTCGGTCACTCACTAGGTCCAACCCTGCGCGTGGATTCCGCGCGCCTGAGTCCATCCGACCAAGTTTTCCTGTGCAACTCCGCTCCACCAGCTGCTGGTTTCGCCCCTTACTGGTCAGGCTGAAGAATTTGTTGTTAACAGACTTCCGAAAAGTTCGATTTTCTGTGTTCTGGCTGTGTTTTCTGTTGCTAATATTTAGTTGTCTCTAAACTTGGTTGCATGAGAAGGCACAGCACATCCACCTATGCCTCCATCTTGGCGGAAGTCCCTGGGTTCTTTTTCCCATTATAATTGTTCTAAACGTGTTGATTATCTTTGTGAATTGAAGTACAATTGACCCTTAAGCACATGAGGGTTATGGGCATTGACCTCCATCCCCTGTACAGCCAAAAAATCTGTACATAACTTTTGATTCCCTCTAAATTTAACTATTGTGCAGTCATCCCTCAGTATCCACTGGAGATTGGTTCCAAGATTCCTGGCAGATACCAGATCTACAGATGCTCAGATCTCTCATATAAGATGACATAGAACAGCACATATGGTCAGCCTTCCCCATTTGCAGATTGAAAATTCTGTTTTTGACCCATGGTTTGTTGAATCTATGGATGCGAAATCTGGTGGATACAGAGGACAGTAGACTCTCTGTGTATGCATTGGGAAAAAATCCACATGTAAGTGGATTTGTGTGCCTCTCAAACTTGTGTTGTTTAAGGATCAGCTGTACATTACTATTTTTTGACCAATAACTCTAGACTCCCCACTTTATAAAATGAGTTTAGGAACATCCTTATCCTTTCTCATTAGTTTTGATTTATCTCTTCAGTTTCCCAGCTTCAATGAACTCTTTCATAGTGTTGTCAAAATTGATAATACTTACATTCCATTCCATAGTCGTGGTCGTCCTTGCTTTAAAGTTTGGAAATTAAAAAACAAAGCTTACATTATACTTATGTCAACATTGCTCACTTCAAGGTTTTATGATTATATTAGAGATGTCTGGGTTTTTCCTGGAATTTTTTTTATTGCATCATTTGCTTTCTCATTGCCTCCTTCCTCCCTCTGCCCACTTTCTGTCACATCAGATATTCTAAATCTCCATTTCCCCCTGTGGTCTTTCTGCCTGAACTTCCAATCTGCTTCATCATTAGATCTCTGGATCTTATCCTAGGACTATTCTGCTGTTGTTCTTAGGTAGCCCCTCCGTTTTCCAGATTCCTTGTCTTCTTTTCTTCATATTCTCTGGTTTTGCTGGATCACCCTCAAGAAAGGAGTTTGGTTTAAGACATTTTCTGAGTCCTTACATCTTAAAATGTCTTTATTCTGCGTTCATATATGCTTTGATAATGACCAGTTGAAAAGCATTTTCCTTCACAGTTTCTCAGGCATTTCTCCTTTGCCTTTAGTATGTATTATATGAAGTCTTTGTAAGATCCTTTGCAGGTGACTGGGTTTGGGTTTGGGTTTGGGTTTTTTTTCTGTCTACAAGCTTTTTGGGACATTATTCATGAAGTTTAAAATTTTTACAGTGATGTATCTACACGTTTTTCATTCATAATGAGTTACTTGGTATACTCTTTCAGTCTGTAGATTGGTGTTTTTCAACTTAGCAGTAATTTCTCTCTCCCCATTTCCTTTATTTTTTCTTTCAGGAACATTACTTAACCAGATGTTGGACCTCTACAT